TTGGTTGGTGGTGACTGTCAGTATATAATTCTCAAAACTTACAGAATTACTTATTATGTTAAAAAAAAAGGAACATTTTATGTAAAAAAAAAAAAAAGGATCTAGCTAGATAGGTGTGAACTTGCTGCATTTCAGGGTCTGTCTGTCTCACTTTGGGGTACGCTGTCCGCACACCACACTAGTCCCTTCTCACCTACTCAGTCCGGAACCAAACCTAAATAGACTTTACTCCCCCCTGTCACGGGCTTCTTGGCTTCTGTGGTGTTCCCGATCTGGACTGCACGTGTCACTCAGCACAGTGGCCAGGGCTTCTCCTCCAGGAGTTGTGTGACCAGTGGTGATGATGATGTCCAACCTTCCGGTGGTCATGGTGTCAGTACATCGATGGCCTGATGGTAGTGAACTTCACTGCCAAATCCAAAGAGGAAAAATCTYGCCTTCTTTATTGGGACGGCAGGTTTTTAGGGACCACTGGGTGCAGGGTTCTGCTCTGCAGCTATATTTGAGAATGCGATGCTGATTTTCATCTTCCCTGAGGTATTCGGCTTCCTGTCTGGTCTCATCACCACCCTAATTTTCCTCAAAAACTAGTCTGTTTCTGTGTCCATCAACTGGACTATGATAGAGAGGCACTCCACCTCCTTCCATCAGCAACCTGCACAGGGCCCACTATCCCACTGGGTAGGGGGCTTCGCATTGCACAGGGTTGTAGTGCTCTATGTGTTGATTCCAATCCACCCCTGACCCCTTCACTGCAGTGCTGAGTCTCACCACAGCCCAGCAAAGTCCTGTGACCGGCACAGATGCAGGCCTTTGCTCCCTCACATTCACYTGCCATTAGGATGCTGTCTATACAGATCAACTAGGTAACATTTTTGTCACTTTGTTTTGCGGGGTGGGGGGGCAGATTGAAACCAGGAGGGCTTAACCTCTGAGCCACATTCCCAGCCCTTTTTATTTTTGAAACAGTCTCGCTGAGTTGCTTAGGGCCTTGCTAAGTTTTTGAGGCTGACCTCAAACTTGTGATCCTCCTGCCTCAGCCTCCTGAGGCACGGGAATTATAGGCGTGTGCCACTACACATGGCCTCTTTTCCTTTCTTTAACCTCCTATCAATTTTATATTCTGTCATCCATTCATGTATCTAGGCAACATTTATTAAGCATCTATGAGATGCAAAGCATTTCTTTGAAGCATTTATAACAGTGCAGGCTGAGCTCAGCTCTCCAAAGACCCCTTGGCAGTTTAACAGGAAGAATTTGCAATTAAGGGAGTGGCCCCTAGATGGTGGTATTGTTCTGAGTGAGGCTCTGGATTTTTTTCCTTTCATATTTACAGTGAAGTAAAAAGACATAGGCTAGAAAATGATTTCTCATTAGTTCTATAAAACTTCACTGCTTAAGAATTCACTCAGTGGCATTCAAAATGGCATTGTATCATGAGTCGTGTGGCCTGTGTGTATTTGACATTAATTATAACCATTAATGATCATATCAAAGTGAACATATTCCCTTATTATTAGCCCATATACCCATCAGTATTTTCTCTGGGTATATTTATCTAACCTTAAGAAAATGAATAAAATTTAAATGGTGATTGTTAAGAGCATTGATTTATAACCTTATAGAAAAAATCTTTTCAAATACTAGATGTAATAATCAAGTTTTATAAATAAACTGACTTCTTTCATTCTGAATGTTACAGATTAATTTCCAGGCCTGGGATTGATTTCCAGCCACGAAAACAAGGGTGCCTTTTAAAGAAATATGTTGTCTTTTAGTGTTCAAAGGCTAATACATAATGTGGCTTCTTCAGTTTTAACCTAACAATGAGAAAGGATTCAGAGACTCAGGATTTGAGCAGGCTTAGATGAACAATATCAAGTTTCCACTTAACATTCTTGAAAGGAAACAAAATGTATTCCTATTTCTTCCCTATAAAACTAACTGGGCATAAATATGTTTCTACTTAAACATGGTTGAGTCTCACCTTGAATTCAATCAATATTCAGGATAAGAAATTATCTATGAAAACCCACTGGTAACATTTTTGCTTTCTATCTGCTCAGTGGGAAATAAATGGCAAGCAAAAACCAGAACATAATAGAGGCAAATCAAACATAACTGAATTTTGTTTAAATATAGATTTTTGCCAATGAATTAAAGAGAAAAGATAGTGTGTAGATCTAAGATAGAATTGCTATAGGTGAAATTCACCCACCCACCCATCCATCTATCCAACCAACCAAGCAACCAACCTATATGGTCCAAGGGATTTGAGATATGAAGATAAGAAGATGCCATTTCCAATCTCAAAAATTCAGTCTAGTCTAAGAAAGGGGCTTGGAAAAGTTCAGTTCGGTTTATTATAGTGTCAAGTAGATTTACAACTATTGCACTTATCATTCTGCTTACAGAAGGCCAACATTAAGGGGGATATTTTTCTCCAAAAGAGATAAGTTTTCAGAATCTTCAATATGTTAAAATTACACAGGCAAAGAGGAAACCTCATGTCCCGTTCCCTAGTCCTGCCCCCTTCCTGCTGTTGTACAGCTTGCTGCCAATGAGAATTTTAGTTTGGATAATGGTTTAAAAGTCATCCCTTTCTCATTAAATGACCTTTGAGTGAAATTGGACAAGAATTCTCTTTATACTCTCTTCCTCACCCCAAACATAGAAAACACAGCTCCCATACTCCAAAATCAAATGTAACCATAAACCTTGGAGGTGAACTTCACTCAAAGACAAAGTAAATATTACTTCCTTCCAGACTCCACGTGGCATTCAGGTCAAGTGCAATCACTGGCTGACCAGCTTTTAGGCAATGGGAGAAAACGACAGAGGCTCAAAAGTGATCCAGCATATAAAATTCTCAAAAACAGAAGAAAGTCATGAACATTGTTGGGAAAGTGTTTTACATTTTCAAGAAATTCTATTCTACTGATGTGTTTGGAAGATTGTCTTCAACCTATTTGGCTTTAGCCCATCAGCTGTAACTGATTCAGTCATGTGAAGAACCACTTTTATCTTAAGCTTTGCAATGTATAACAATGGATGAAAGGAAAGTGGTTTTCTTATTTACTCTAATAATTGTGCTGAGAAGAGCTGGCGGGGGCGTGGCTGGTGGAGAGTACCAGCCTTCAGTCCTCTTAAATTATTTTTCATTCTGATTATATTTCGAATAAATGAGTGGTGGGGGCTTGGCACTGTTTTTCATCTTAACAGTTGCTCTGCATTCAAAGATGCTCTATGTGATTCATAATGTCCTACCATAACAAGACACAGCTTTTATATATTACTGGGGTAATGCAAAGAAAATGAATTTTCCTTTGGGTACCAGTAATTGTCAAAGGAATGATTGCAGATTCAGAGAATGTGCTTTTATAATAACCCTGTTAACATAAAGCATAGACTGAGCAAAGAAAAACCATGGCATGTGTGTGGAAGAGTCAGCTGCATTAGCAAGGCATCTTGGGGATGGTTTGGGCTTTTTTGACTAAGATACATSAAATTTTGACCCCCTTCAGCTCCTTGGACCAAGAGGAAGCAGTAACATAGGAGTATTTGCTGAGTGTGAGCTGACTTTGCCATGTGCTTAGAAATGCTCCAACTAGTTAATAAACTCTCTCTCTCTCTGCCCTGGTACTAAGGCTAATGTGCTCAGGCTGTTAGAAATAATTTGAATATCAAAAATGAAATTGAGATTACCAACCATGTCCTGATAGTTACAGCATGTAGAATGTCAAACGTCCTCTTTTTAAACTAAAGTAAAAATGAAGAAGCATGGTTAATTMATTTGTGCTGATTAAAACACACCTCCAAGTGCAACTTGGGTTTGCAGCCACTCCATGCGGCTGTGTCACCTGACACTCTCCCTGGGGGAGGGGGRGGACATGTGTATCTGCCTTGCTAATCCCTCCAGGTGTCTTCCTAGCCCATGTGCACACTCCCACTGTGAAGGAAAGCTAGCTACAAAACCTAGAAGTTTTCTGCTTTCAGAAAATTCTAGTGTATCGTGTACACCTCAGGTATTTCTCTTTCTGCTTAAAAAAATAGTGCAAAAACATCTGATAGTCAAAATGATAGTTCAAGCGAGTTTTCGTGCCAGGGAACAGTGGAGCTTCACCTTTAGCTGACTTGTAGAATGTGAAYGTAGTTTTTGGGAAATATTCCAGATTTTCCCATTAGTTCTCCACTCATCCAGTCGTCATCTACAGATTCCAGCYCTGTTATTATATCCCCAGCCTGTAATAAGACAGGAATTGGAAATAAGTATTGGTTTCTATTGGATCTAAGCATGGTAAGTACCTACCTGGAATGGCATGAATAGTCTCTCCTCTTTATAGAACTCAAATATCTTGATTTGCAGGGAGAATTCAATGACATGCCACAGAAATGATCTACACCTAATGATGATACCATCTGCTCCCCTATTTGTCTTCCTCAAATCCTATTCCCTTGCCATTATCAATTTTGCTGCACTTTGATTTTCATGCTAATAAATTGGTGGTGGKGGGGGGYAGTACCAGGGATAGAACTTAGGGGAACTCAACCACTGAGCCAGACCCTTATTTTATATTTATTTAGAGACAGGATCTCACTGAGTTGCTTAGCACCTCACTTTTGCTAAAGCTGGCTTTGAACTCATGACCCTCCTGCCTCAGCCTCCTAAGCAGCTGGGAATATAGCTCTGCTTATAATTTTATGATTCCTAAAGTTACCACCACCAATTGAGAATCCTTCTTGAATAAATGACAATATCAGCCATATATACACATACACATATATTTTCATCTAACATTATTTACTGAGCTCCTAGTATGTGYCACTCATTGTTCTGGGCACTATRGAAATAGTAAATAGGCGTCATTCTCAAGTGGGAAGACATAAGCAGAGCAAAGCAGACAATATGGAGTTGCTGCCTCATTGGGGTAATCAGAGAGGGTCCCATGGAAGAACAACACTATACAAAGCCTTGGAATGAGAGTGAGCCATGAGCTTACTGGCTGCCTGGTCCTAGTCTATGCACTTTACACAGAAACTAACTCAATTTAAACAATACCATAGTCCCAGAGATGGCCATCATTATTATTGTCCTCATTTTAGAGCTACATTTTTATATATTTCTTTATTTTAAAGAAAACGAAACTAGTCGCTGGGCGTGGTGGTGCACGCCTAAAAGCCCAAAGGCTGTAGAGACTGAGGTAGGAGGACTGCAAGTTCAAAGCAAGCATGAGGGGTGCCTGGGGCTGTGGCTCAGCGGTAGAGCGCTCGCCTAGCATGTGCAAGGCCTTGGGTTCGATCCTCAGCACCACATAAAAATAAATAAATATTAAAAAAATAAAGGTATTGTGTCAAACTACAACTAAAAAATATTTTTTTAAAAAAGTTAAGCATCTGAAGTTTAGCAAGGTCCTAAAACAACTCAGCAAGACTCTGTCTCTATCACATGTGTGAGTAGTAGCAGAACCAGAATTCAATTCCAGTGTGATTCTAAGGCTGAGATTCTAGGTGGTAACCACATTTTACACTGGATCTTTTTGCTTAGGTTCTTACTCTAATTGCTTTTTAAACATCCTGAGCATTTGTCRTGTACATAATGGTATTCAACCTTCACCATTTGTTTTTTTGCATTCCTCCAYGGCTCAATATCAAATTTACATTTCCCCCCTTATCTTAAGAGCTYCACCCTGATTCAGAACACTCACTGATCTTCACCAGGTTAGTCAAAGGGGCAGAGTCTTATTCATGTGCAAAACAGAATTCTTCTAGTAGATGAAGACATTAACTATTTTGCTCCTTATGGTAACTAACCATTTTGGGATAATCTGGGTTTAAGATTCTACAATGGTCCAAAGTGACCCTGGATACTCTTTAAAATAACTTTATCAGGTTACAGGGGTTTATTTGTAGCCCTAGTCATTGCCCTCTAAAAACAATGGTTTGATTTAAAGCTCCCCTACACTATTACTGGAGATTTAATCCAGGGACTCTTTACCATGAACTAAGTAAGTCCCCATTCCTTTTTATTTTATTTTTTATTATTTTTTTAAACATTTATTTTGTTTTTAGTTATGGATAGTTATTTTATTTTTATGTGGTGCTGAGGGCCGAACCTAGTGCCTCCCGCATGCTAGGCAAGGGCTCTACCTCTGAGCCACAACCCCAGATCCTTCTTTTTATTTATTTTTAAAATATATTTTTAGTTGTGGATGGACACAATGCCTTTATTTAATTAATTCATTTATTTTGATATGGTGCTGGGGATCAAACCCAGGGCCTCATACTTGCGAGGCAAGGGCTCTGCCACTGAGCTACAATCTCAGCCCTCTTTTTTATTTTTTACAAGAGGATCTCCCTAAGTTGCTGAAGGCCTCACCAAATTACTGAGGCTGGCCTTGAAYTTGTAATCCTACTGTCTCAGCCTCCAGAGTCCCTAAGACTATAGGCACTTGGCACCACACCCGGCAGATTTAAAGCCTTTAATTATGGAAAATGGAAAGGCAACATTTTGATTGTCAGACTTCATTAATCTATTCCTGCTAAACTCTGTAAAATTCTGGCTATTCGCCAGGTGTGGTGGCACACACCTGAAATCCCAGAGGAGGATCAAGAGTTCAAAGCCTCAGCAACTTAGTGAGGCCCTCAGCAATTTAGTGAGACCTGTCTCTAAGTAAAATACAAAAAAAGGGCTGGGATGTGGCTCAGTGGTTAAGTGCCACTGGTTCAATTTCTGGTAACTCCATCACCCCCCCCCCCCAAAAAAAAGTAAATTCTGGCTATTCAGTTCTGTTACAAATAAATTCCTTCTGATTCCTCAATTACAGTATAATGTTTGACTGAAGCTATTTTTCTTAGCTCTGGTTCATACCTACACACCACGTTAATTTACTGAGAGGGTTCTTTTTAAAAAGAAATTCTTTTTTTAAATAGACTTTTTACTTTATTTGTTTATTTGTATGTGGTGCTGAGGATTGAACCCAGGGTCTCACACATGCCAGGCAAGTGCTCTACCACTGAGCCACAATCCCAACCCCTTAAAAGAAGTTCTATCTACTAACATTCTCTGGATATTTAATAAAATATTAATGACTAACACCACTGAAAGCAGTAAAGAATCCCTCTAAAAAAATCTAGCACTGTTCTGACTGAGTCATTTATTTGTGAAATGAAGACAACCTGTTCATTGAAAGTACTATAAATTCTGTTATTTCAATCAACATAACTTAAAGGAAGTAATACTCAAAAAATTGGAATTCAGATTCTTCACTTGCAGTAATATTTTATGAAAAAATAAGGAATAAATTCTGAGCCACTGATTCACAAGACTGAAGAGGACTTGGGCAATGTTTCTAAACTTTTAGATTTTAAGGATCAAGATATTAAAAAGAAAAAAAATATTAATATAGAGTTAACAACTGAATTTTGCAATAGTAAGGATATAGGAAATTATCTATCACTTGCTAAAAYGATTTATAATAGAAATGGCATTTCAATATGAAAATGTCAGAAGAGCATTCTCAAAGGATAAGTCTATCCTGAAGTAGGAAAGGTAGCAACCTTATTCTGACACACCTCGGCCCACCTCCCTCACTCCCCCAACGTCTAATACCTAATAGTGCCTTATTTTCCTCATTCTGTTACAGACAAGTAAAAACCTTATTTGGGCACCCAAGGTCTCAAGTCTCATCTCCTCTAATCAGTCCTTCAGGCAGAATACCCTCCACATGGAGACTTGACCTTTGTCTCCCACAGGCTATGCTGACAGTAATGACTACAGAAATCTCCCTCCCCCTCCTCTAGCACACAGTCCCCAGGGCACTGTCCTGGGTRTTTTTCCCTGACCATGGCCCAAGGGAAATAGAATCATGGAAATAATCCATTTTCACTTTAAGAAAAAATAAGAGGTACTTCTTTTTTTCTTTTAGTTATAAATGGACACAATATTTTTATTTTACTTTCATGTGTTGCTGAAGGTAGAACGCTTGCCTAGCACTGGGTTCCATCCTCAGCCCAAGAGGTATTTCTTTTTTTTTTTTTTTAAACAGGAAAGAAAACTTTATTGAAGAATATTAAATAGGAAAAATAAAATTGAACTCAACTTCCCTTAAACAAAAATCAGGAGAGGTTTTAAGCTCTGGGTGAACTTGTGAAAATGTACTGAGAGACACTGATAGGTGAGACACTGAGAGACACTGATAGGTACTTCTTTGGTAAAGTAAGATTAGGGATATTTTAGGCTTTTAAAAAAAGAAAGAAAAAGAAAACTAGCTGGGCATGTTGGCGCACACCTGTAATCCCAGCAACTTGGGAGGCTGAGGCAGGAGACTCTCGAGTTCAAAGCCAGCCTCAGCAATAGCGAGGCACTAAGCAACTCAGTGAGACCCTGTCTCTAAATAAAATACAAAATAGGGCTGGGGGTGCAGCTCAGTGGTCAAGTGCCCCTGAGTTCTATCCCTAGTACCAAAACAAACAAACAACAAACATCTTTGAAAGTAGGTTAGCATTTTGGAACTAAAACCGAAAAGCTCTGTTGAATGTCTCTGTGGACAAGACACAGTGTCTTCTGAACTACAGTGCCACAATGGCAAACTGTAGCAGCTGTCACCTGTTTCTTCACTGATTTCTTTTTTTTAATATCTATTTTTTAGTTATAAGTGGACACACAATATCTTTATGTGGTGCTGAGGATCGAGCCCAGTGTTTCATGCATACTAGGCGAGCGCTGTACCTCTGAGCCACAACCCCAGCCCCTCTTSACKGATTTCAAAGGCGTGTTGGTAGCAGGCTGTGAGGGCCACGTAGAGGATTGCCCTTTATTAGAGCAACTAATGGAAACTACCAGATTACTAAGAACCAAGGTTATAACAACAAGAACAAGGAATTACTTTGAGGGCTGTGAGATTATTAAGTCAAGGTTTTCTCGAAGAACCTTCATGTCTGGTTGATAATGTAAATCATTACTTCTATTTGCCTAATGTACTTTCTCTACTCCTTCCCTTAGAATGAAAGTGTGAGATTCCTTCAGTCTTAGGTAACGATTACTATCCCACCCAAATGTTCTACTCTCCAATGGAAGACACTTCAAAAGGTACAGTGCTTACTCCAGGTACACAAAGATACACATACTGACCTTGAAGGAGAGCTCRTCTTCATTCTCCCCCTGGAAATCATACAAGGCTTTGGCCTTCCTCCCCTTCAGTGATATGGCAGACATACTTTTTGCCTCAGCTGTAAAGACATGAAAAATTCCAATGTATGGAAACACAGTGGACTAAAACACTAATGGAGCATTTCAAGAACCCCCCGTCATTCTCAGAATACAACATCTTCAATTTATTTTGAATTAACTTGCAAAAAAAGGAAGGATGTTCTCTTAGCAGAAAACAATTATGTAAAATATATTTAACAGACATAATCAGCCATTATTTAGTGAAGGCAGTTTTATATTTTTTCTTAACTCTAACAAAGTAGACTCTGAATGAAGTTTGCATAACTTTATGGATCAACTCTTTCAAATAACTTAAACTGAACATGGCTGGGGAAAAGGAATATATATGAGGCCTYTGGTTCCCCTTGAAGAGTAAGGGCCATGTCTTGTAGCTGTCATACCTGGACAGGGCTGCACAAAAACTGCTGGGAAGATCCCCTCTCTGTCGTGCAGTCTGCCCCGATACCAGTCGGAGTCCAGACGCTCGAGGATCAGGATCCGGTCTCCCCTCTTGAAGGATAAGTCTTCACTGGTTTCTGCTGTGAAACTGTGGAGRGCTCTGCACCATTCTCCAGAAAGGCTGTTGTCCTGTTATGAAGCAAAAGGCTGGTAAGAAATGTGAGTTTATATTTCAAATCGAGTTCTACAAAGCTTAAAAAATGGTGAGGCTGGGCACCTGGCATTCCAGCTACTCAGGGGGYTGAGGCTGGAGGATTTCAAGTTCAAGGCCAGCSTCAGCAATTTAGCAAGAACCTGTCTCAAAATAAAAAAGGGMTTGGGGTGTAGCTCAGAGATAAAGCACCCCTAGGGTCAATCCTTGGTACAAAAAAAGAGAAAAAAGTGGYGGGGGTRGGGGGRAATAATAAAAACTAAGGGTCTTTATTTCAAAGCCTGAAGTCTTCTTAAATTACCCAATATTTTATGTTCCTATTAAGCTTCAGAAATAAAAGTTTCTGATAACTTTTTTTCTTAAATATAATTTTAAGGGTTGGGATTGTGGCTCAG